ACTAGCAACTAGCAACTAGCAACTAGCAGCTAGCAACTACCAACTAGCAATAGCAATAGCAATAGCAATAGCAATAGCAATAGCAATAGCAATAGCAATAGCAATAGCAATAGCAATAGCAATAGCAATAGCAATAGCAATAGCAATAGCAATAGCAGCAGCAACAACAACATGTATGCCAACCATTTATCCATCTGAACTGCGACCGTGACATAGGCAGGACATAGGCATAGATTCGATTAAGGATTCATTATTTATTTGTTTGGCTCAGGGCTTAGGATGTTGGATTTTAGGACCAATTAAATTTAGGACTATAGGGGCCGCGGGTACCAGTTCAGTTTAGTTTAGGTCAAAGTTTAGGTCCGTTTAGGTTTCAGGTTTAGGTTAGCCCGCCCAAGAGCACATTCCCCAGTAAAGTTAAGCTGTTAAGCCGGCGATCTTGCCTCGGCTACACATGTCCGATGTTCCCAAGTGGAGCTCCGTGAATGCAGAGCGGATGCATCGTCACATGGAAATCCTGCAGCCAGCCACTGGACCCGAGGCACTTCACGAATCTGATCCGTCTTCACTTTGGGCGCTCGGCCATGCACGACATCTGTGATTCTGCCATCTGCTGCGACTGGACCGGCTGCTGTCTCCGTCACGGCGTGGAGTGTCCGGACTGGTTCTCTTAGATTCTTAGATCGAAACAATTAAAGTAATTGAATTAACGTTAATTATATTAATTAAAGTCAATTGAAGTATTTTAAAGCTCGGGAACAAAAGAGCTAGAGACATAGAGCTCATCACAGCAACAAAGCAAACTTTAAGAAAACGTGTTGCGGTTGCGGACCAGTGGGCTTCAAGGTGACTTTTCGGGTCTTCAAAGAGAGGAGTGATTGCAGAATGTTCGATTCCTCCAAGGGCCAGCTCTGCCTGTCTGAGGCTTTCATCTGCTCGGCACGGCTACGCAAGTGCGTGATGTAGTGTTCCACAGACTTGCTCGCGGCATCCAATGCTTGCGTGTCTGGTGAACTAGCAGCAGCATGCCAGACACGGGCTTCGGACGCAGCAGGGGGAAGCGGCGGCTGCCGTTGAACTACAGCAGCACCTGGAACCGAAGCGTCATCCTGGCGAACAGCAGGCATGCGGGCGATGTTGGCAGCATTGAGCGACCGCGCCAGACCCTTGTATCGCTGCTGCTCGTGTTCGCTCAGCCGGTCAAAGGCCTGCCGCACCTCGCAGCATGCCTCCTTGCAGAACCAATCTTTCGTTCGGCCAATGGCCCGCTGGCCTTGCATGTACTCATTACGAAATTGGTGGCATAAGCGGAGTGCGCTCGTCTTCGTTTTTTTCGCCGGTGTCGGCTCAAGTTCAAGCGCTTGCCCATCCTGTTGCGCACCGTCAGCAGCGGCAACCCTCTTCTGCTGTAGCGATGCGACTTTGCACAAAGAAGCATGAACTGCACGAGAATCCATGTTAATGGAGTTCATTGCAAGAGTCGCGAAACGGCTGTTGTCGCTTCCCTGGCCCAAAGTTTTGTGCAACCCATGTTTGCGCTCGGCATCTGCTGTGGTGCACGTAGTGACCTGCGCCATCGTTGCAAAGACAGCCGCCCACCTGGGTTGATTGAAGGCATTAAAGCAAGCGTGAAGCACAAGGCAGGACATTGTGTCACTATGTCATTGCGCCCTGTACTGCAAACTGTAAACTGGAAACACTTGTAGCCTTACCATGCTGCACGCAACGAGCACCTGGAGGAACTGGACCAAGGGCTAAAGATCGGCAACATCCAGGAAACCACGAAAAACATGTAAATATAAATTGACTAGACTAAATTGACTAAATCAATCGCTGAATCATGGCTGGCGGCCTAATCATTGAATTATTCAAGCATGGTTAATCACTGTTCATTCAAATCAGTCAAATCACAGTCAAATCAAGTCAAATATCCCGCCCAAGATACTGGGGGCTCTGCAAGTCATCACTCGACAGACGACGCTCCTTGAGAACTCGCGCAAAGCCGGCCCGCAGGCAACAGGAGGATGAACAGGTCCAAGACGCCAGGACCTCCTGAACCAATGCCGGGTCTGCCTGTGTGTCGGCAATCACACCATGGAGGCTGCAGGACCCGATCTTGGTGTCTCCTCTCGAGCCAGCCGCCACCATAACAACCATGCGTCGCAGGACCCTCAATTCCTCCCGGCGGGTGGCTTCCCATTCAGCCACAGAGCGGCATCTGCTGCGTCCCAGCAGCACCGCCAGGCGGTCACTGTCAGCGCACAACAACCCTGCAAGGTACTGCGCTGAACTCGCTGTTGGCGAGGTTGAGGAGTAACGGACGCTGCGGACAATGGCAATGGTCCGGGGAGCTGCCCGATACAAATTCAACTGTCAGAAATCGCAGAGGTTCATCAACCAATCCGAGTATCAACAGTTTTGTGCCAAGCAGCGACTGCTGTGTCTCCTCAAGCATCTCCCGAATTCTCGTCGCATGCTTGCCTGTCACTCTGGCCCATGAGATTGTGGATGTTAGCGCCGGGTCCATGTCAGTGTCCAGTCCCTCTTCTTTCTCAGCTTTCCTGACAACAGCCAGGTCCTGAAGCCAGAAAGGTGTGGCACGGTTGCATGCCCACGAGGACGAAAACCAGAGCACTCCACAACGTTGTCCATTTGCCAGGTGGCGGGGTGTCCGGCACAGCAGCCAGAGCCCAGCTGCAAAGCCTTTTGGACATCTTCTCACGTGCCTCTTCCTTGAGTCTGAGTCTAGAGTCTAGAGTGTAATCAGTGTGATCTAATCTAGTAATATAGCAAGTGGAGCTTACACCACATAATGACATAATTAGACATAATTATGACATAGTTGCCCGCAAGGCACATCACAATATTACAATCATTACAATTACAAGATTACAATAATGACAATCATTTCATTGCAATACAATGATTTGGCCTCGCTCGTGCAGCATCCCGGCCGTAGTGGCTAGGCTTCTGGTGGGTCAGGTCTCCGTTGAACATCTCGACAAATTCCGCAGCAGCCTTCGCTTTGCACCCGGCTGGGGCATCCGGCATCTAAATCAAAGGTTTCAAAGCGTTCGCCAGACGGCGACACTCGTCTGCATTCGCCAGAAGACCGCAGAGTTCGAGAGTATATGCAGGTGCTGTTACCTTTCTGGAAACAAAGCGAACAGAAGCGTCCTCAAGAAAACGATGCACTGCTTCTTTCAGCTTCGGCCAATGGGTGGGTGAGTGAAAAAATCGGAGATAAGTCGTTTGTGCGCCTGTCCCACCGCAGCTGTCTCGATGACATTGACTTGACGCGACATGCATGGCATCCAGTCGGTCAAGGTTCCTGCAGACTTGTATTTCGGCAAACGCCAAAAAAGGAGCCTTTCGTTGGCACTGGCTGAATCGGTCTCTTGGATAGCGAGCCTTTCTTTCGCTGATGTCAAGATAGTCTCAACCAGTTTCTTGACCGCGCAAAGGCCTGGGTGATTGGCAATTGCCCACTGCAGCTGTTGAGAACTGGGGCTCAACACTAGCAAAGGTGGGAGCACCAGTGGAAGCTTGACCATGTGCGCTGGCCATGTGACCACTACTGTCATCCTGATCACGCATATCTGGAAAGCACCGACCTCAGCGTCGCCCTTTCCCACACTGCTTTTGTCCAAGGCTGTGTCTCGTCCCAACACACTCGCAGCCCCGCGCACAAGGGCTGCTCCACCGGACAAAGTCGCGCGATCCTCGCAAGGCTGTGGAGTTGTTTGGCAACACATGCGCCTGCGGTCACGGTCCGCATCACTTGGATGTGCGGAAGGCTGATCTGCAACGCCACTGCCCCGGCAGATGCTGTCAGCAGCTGACGCCCTTCTAGCGACTTCAGAACAGATTTGCCAGGGCCGTAGGAGGCTTCCAGAAGACTTGCCATAGGCAGCCTGTTGAGAGGGCACTTCAGCTCGCACACCCGCATCATCCCGTGTTTGTTGAACAGTCGGCCCCTCCTAAGTAGGCGCACCTGCATCCTGCTTGTCCTGCTGGCGGCGGCTTCCAACTTACGCAAGAATCCTATCGGACTGACCTCGTTGCGCAATGCTGTCTTCGCACGCTGTCGTAGATGCAATGTTCTGGACTGCACTTCCACGCGAAAACATCTTTGCAGAAGACCGAGATTTCGGAGGCGCCAGCGTAGGAGTCGGTCCCCGAACTGTGCCTCTGCAAGCGCTGTTGGTTGCGAGCCATCAACTCTCTCACTATGTTCACCACACCGCACGATTCTACGACGACTCCTGGGAAGATAAGCAAACTCGGAAGAATCTGATTCTACGAATTGCAACCCCAACCGGTGTCAAAGAAGAGGATGCCTAATGTTATAGTTGGGGGGCCTCCGGAAGGCCCCCGGAATTGGTAAGCAGGGTTGTTCATACACAACACTGGGCGAGGCTGCTGAGGTGAAGCCCGTCCTGGGACCGTGTCCACTGGCGCGGCGACAACAAGGGCCGAGCTCGTGCCCTCCCCCAGTTCACTTTCACGCGTATGTCTTGCAGACTCACCCATTTGCGGGAGGTCTCCCAGAATCTCATCCAAATCCATGGCGGTTGACTGAGTCTAAGTTACAAGTTTATTACGTGGCTTAAGTCCAAGTCATTTCTACAGCAAGCTGAGCACAGCTCTTCTTGGAATCAGGGTGGCTAGGTTCAGGGTTTAGGGTTAGGTCTTTTGTCTTAGGGAGTTTAGGACTTACATAATTTAGGGTTCTTAGGGTTCAGGGGAAGTTCAGGGTACTCCAAGGTTATTTACGGCTGAAGCACGTTTAAGACTACTGAAAATTCAAGCATGATGTAAGCCATGTAAGCCACAAAGCTGAACAGTTCGTCAGAATTAGCCCTGCAGCAAGCACGGTTCTGCACCACTTTATTCATGTTCAAAGAGGCTGACTCGACTCTACAATTCTACAATCTGAATCTACTAGTACTCCCGGGCTCGGCCTGCACCCTTGCGTCCATGAGCGTTCGCCGATCCATGGCTTTGCTGCTCCGGCTAAGCTTCGGCGCCCTAGAAACAAGTACCGTCTAGGTCTTTTTCTCTCACTCCTCCTGCTGGGTCGGCGGCTTGAGCCGGAGGCTTTTAAATAGCTGGATCCACTACCCAGTCACATCGGCACAACAGTGCTGAGATCACGGCCAAACACGAGGAGGTCGTCGCTTGCTCCTCGGGCCACACCTGGGCTTCACGTTTGTTATTGGCGGGTGAAGAATCCGACATATTGGAACTTCTAGTCTCAATGATGGGAAGCTGCGCAGCCTAGGCCCTGCAGTCACGGCCTACTCAATGACTCAATCGTAGCACTCACTCTTAGTCTTGCTCCTACTCCTGTAGCACCTCTGCCGTGCACCCCTTCGGTCCCTGAGGATCTGGCATCTGGCGAGTCGAGATCAACCTGGCAACGTTAAACCAAACTCACACATGGTGCAAGCTGCAAGTGTGAGTCTCACGGAATGCGGCGCTGTTCGTGGTATTTCAAGATCACTGAAACTCTCACTTATGAAGACTTATGCAAGACTTCCTGACTCCTAAGTCATTTGACAAAGTCGGACTGGAAGCTGTTGCCTTTGCAATGAACAAGCCGTGAGGTCATCATGATTCGATCCGCCAAAGCGACGGGGCGACCGGCACTGGTTCCATTCGCTTCCCATACAGCGATTGCAAAGCACTGAAAGTACATGTAATTAAGGAATTTTATATGCGGGCATTGGTGCCTTTTTTGTTGCGGAGAGGGTCTGGGGCTTGTACCGGAGTTGTACCGGAGATGGCTTGGCCATAACACAACCTTGTACCGGAGATGGCTTGGGCTTGTACCGGAAAGGGCTTGGCCGTGTACCGGAGATGGTTTGGGCTTGTTGTACCAACGATGGCTTGGCCGTGTACCGGAGAGGGGCTTGGCCGTGTACCGGAGATGGCTTGGGCTTGTACCGGAGAGGGGCTTGTCAGGTAGATGGTCTTATACGTTTCGGGCATAGCGCAGGCCTTTAAAGGATGGTAGAGCTAAAACCCAAGATTAAATGCATGTGTGAATGCCTTTCTGACATCCATCTCTACACACGACTCGGTCACGAAGAAGTATTTATCAAATTCATCACGCTGTACAGAATACATGTGATAATGTTTATTGACCTCTCCTATTGGGTTCATGGTTTTACATTCTTTGAACATTTGCATGTCTACCTCGTTATAGTAAGATTTCTGTAAGAGGTTAAACAATGCTTTATTGAAACCCTACATTGCCTTGGACTTTCTGTTATAAAAATTTTCTGTGTTGACACAGATAGACCCATCAATGGAACCAGTTACAAAATTTTGTGTTTTAACCTTGCACTTGATGAATCTTGTATTAATATAAAGCCTAAAATTCAACTCAAGCACGATGCACCCACTAAGTCTCACCTGTGGTTCATATCAAACTGACTTATTCTTTATTAATGCCATGAAGAATCGAAAGTTCAAGGTAAGAACGTTTGACGATTGATGTTTTTGATAAGTTTATGCA